TGCATTACTTGGCCAGACAGACATATTGTGGTTGGAAAATCTAAAAATAAATTGATTTTTTTTTCTGCCAAGTTTTTATGACCTTACTCAATTTATTTCTCATTGAGTATAGGTAAAAAGTTTGTATGTTCAACTACTTCTTAGAAATTTTATTAATTCTGATAGGAGACCTTTAGCATTTCCTCATCTCCCATGAAACTATGCAAGGTTATCATCCAATCCCCCCAAAGCATTAATTAGTGCTTTTGGTAATGGCTTACAAAAATAAAACAAACAAATACATAAATGAAAAAAAAAAACAATGGCTTTTTGGGGCTGGAGAAAGTATAAGAAGACTTCATAAAGTCATATTTTTAAATCAGAAAATAGAAATTACACTGTGTGTCATTTAGTCTGACATCCTCATGTTTCAGAGCAGGAAATTAAGGTCTAGGTAGAGGTAACATAGCTTAGTTCATTTCCCTCAGCTTTATGATAGGACATCTCTTTCAGGCCCGTCATCTCTGAGGCTTATTGGGTCTCTGCTGTTTTTTAACTTGGGCAAGTTGCTCACTGTCCTTGGGCCTCAGTTTCTTCATCTAAAACAGAAGTAGGTTAGAGTCACTGCCTGTCTCTAAGCTTAAATTTTGTCATCTGTATAATGAGGTTAGAGTCCTTTTGTTTCCTCTTTCAGCCTCAGTTTCTTCACTTTTAAAATCAGAGGGCTGAACTAGATGATCTCTCCAGAGCCTATCCAGCTCTGACATTCTGGGAGGTTGTAATTGTCACTATTAAATCTTATCTTTCTTAACAGCTCAGCCTCAATTCTTGAAAGTCAAGTTCTTCTTTGCTATGATGGTATGTGTGGGAATGAGGTCACATCAGCTAACAATGCAATTCCCTCAAGTGCTCGAAATAATGCAGATGGGAGAGATACTGTCACTGATGGAGTCCCAAATGTGACAGCACTTACACTGAGTAAATACTATTGAAATGATTGCCCCAACTTATTAAAGGATTCCAGTGAGCCAGGGGACATGAGGTCTTATTGGAGTGCAAACAAACTAGATGTGTGTTGTTGGGTAAGTCGCTTAAACCTTCAGTTCCTTTATCTGTAAAAATGAGAGGTTTGAACTACATCAGGCACTCCCCAATCTTTTTGTGAGGGAAAGCCACTTTTTAATTTCCTTCAATATCTTGCAATCACTGCAATGTGAGGGAAACTAACCAGAAGGATCCTGGGCTTTGTAGGGAAACACTCTAACAGCAGTGCCTCCTTCCCCAATGGAAACCCTGGGGAATCCAGGGTGGAAACAGAAGCATGGCAGGTAGCAAGTGGATTAGAAATCTATTTAGGATGGCTTTGAGATTTACAGCTGTATTCTCACATACATTTTGAGGAGCCTCAGGTGAAATTGCCTTAAGTTATCTTTCTGTTCCCTATTTCTATGATTTGTGGATATTTGTGCTGTGAAATTTAAACTTTTATAAAAGCACACTCTGTGTGCAGCTTAGAAAAATTGAAATAATATTGAACTTGTTATGAGAAGATCTGGGTTTTAATCCCATCCTTAACTCATAGAATATCTTGAAAATTCACTGCCTGTCTCTGATCCTTAGTTTCCTTATCTGTAAAATGAGAGACTTGGATTAGATTATATCTCAGACCTTTTACAGCACCCACATTCTTTATTCTAAGATCCGTTTTAACTTCAGTTTGATTGTAAGGATCAGAAACAATGTCATGGAAGAATTTACCTCCTTACAGAGTTATACATTTATGGAAAATATTCGACTTATGCATAAGTGACCTGCCAGTTCTTGACATCTTCAAATGCCAGTGTCCTTGGAACCTTCAAATAATTCAAATATCTGAAACTGATATGGTTTAATTAATGTAAATGACACTAAAGAAAATGTATCACTATCTGACTTGCCACTGTACCCTAAGGGCTATTAAATCTATGATTTGCAGTTGAAACCTACTATGTGTATTGTCTCCCATTGTAATATGAGCTTCTTGACATCAAGGACTGTTCCACTTGTCTAATTTTATCCCCAGAATTTAGCACAGTGCTTTGAATATAGTGCTTCCCTAATACATTTTAATTCATTCATTCATGCATGTTAACATACATATCAGAACATTTTGTGTTCTAAGGTCCCTTCTAAATCTAGTATTCTATATTCTGGATTAAGATTAAAATTATCTGATTGTAGCTTTGTATGGATTTCAAAACCCCTTCCCATTCTAACATTTCAAATTCTGAGCTCACTCTTTAACATTTTGTTGTAAAATACCTTCCTGCTCTACCATTCTATGATGTAAGGTCCTTATTATCTCTGATATTCTGTTTTGTGTGCTTAACACAAGGTAGTGGCTTAATAAATATTTGTTGTTCAACTAATTCTAAGTTCCCTTAACTTTATTTAATAATTAAGTATATTCTAAGGTCCCTTCCAATACTGATCTCATAGACTTCATTTCAAATTCCAGCTCAGCTGCTTTCAGTTGAATTAACTATATGGGACCAAATCACTTAATCTCTTTAAGCCTCAGTTCCCTTATCTCTAAAATGGGGGTGTTGATATTTACATTCAAGGGTCAAATAAGCATATCAATATCAATGTGCTTCATAACTTAATCAAAAGCTATATACAGATAAATTTTGTTACTTTTAAAATCAATAATACTTCTAAACATCCTTTTTGTCCTTTAAAAATAAATTCTTAGTGCATTTGGTACTGTTTGGAATAAATGGCTAGCTTGGAGTAGAAGGTTCACATGCAAATTCAAGGCTATGAATTAACACCTGAAAGGAAAGGAGAGGATGGTGATTGTGAATTTCAAACTGCCAATTCTCAGAAAGATAACCATTTTCTCTGAGCTGTGCTTTGGGCTCCCAGGTTTGAGGGAAGAAAAAAAAAAGAATGGGATGGCTAGCCCTGGAAGCTGTCTATCTTTTCTATGAAAGGTTTACCTTGCTCAGAGCTTCCTCAGAATGTCAGTCTTATTGATAGAGTGACTCTTTGAGGTGAAAGGTACTTCAGCTCAACCTCTGAGCCCTTGGGAAGAGTGACAAAAGGGGTGATTACACTGGTCATCTCATTAAATTAGAGATAGTGCCTTTATTTGTAGCAGAATCAGCCCTAAAGCAATCAGCTCCTTTCACATAGGTGGCTAACCAGATCATCCAAAAGTAATGACTTTCTATCACTACAATCCTGGTTCAGATTTGAACTGGTGACCTAAAAGTGAAAGGTTCCCTATCCCATTATGAATTCCCTGAGTCAACCAGTTCCCCACAGCTTCCTAAAGACTTATTTTCACATTTAATCCAATCTAGTAGGATTTCTTCTTAAAAACTGGAGTGATTGTGTGTCCTATTAAAAAAAAAATGTACACTTAGGGGGAAAGAAATATATTTTTGCCACATAGAAGGTAAGCAAAAAAAAAATCTATTTGACATCTCCAGTAATGTGTTTTTATTTTGTTTATTTTATTTTATTTTGGCCATCCATTTCTGAATCTTCCCAATTGAAAAACTGCATTTTTAACACATTTTATTCCCAAAAGAGAATGTTTTTTTCTTCCATAATTTAAATCTCCTGCTCAACTGTGCATTTAGTTTGGGAGCTCTGGCATGACCTTTATTATCTCTATGTACAAACTGGACACTATAGAATTTCTTCTGGGAGCTTTCTAATTTTATTCAGTCACTATTAGTATCATGGTGGAGAATCATATTTTATAGGCTGAATTGGAGCAACTTTTTAAAGTGTGTGTGTGTGTGTGTGTGTGTGTGTGTGTAACAGCAGAAGACTGCAGTGTCTGGAGTTTTTTTTTTTTTTTCCTTTTTCTTGAAATCACAGACTACTTTTCTTTTGCTTTGACAGAGCGAATCTTTTTGTCCGGTTTGTTATTAGTTAATAATTGTTCACATGAAAATTGGGAAATAATGTTTACATTCTTATGAAGAAATAAGGCTACAATGATTTCATTAACATCCATGGAGGTTTGCGTTTCAAAACCTTGAATTGATTTGTCTTCCCTTTAAAAAAATGTGGAAAGAAAATGATTCCCTATTATAGTTCTTGTTAATAAGCAGTTCATGAAGAAGAAAGATTAGACTTGACTTAGACCCAGAGAATAAAACTATGAGCACTGGGGAGGGGCTACAGGGAGGAAAATTTTAGTTCAATATAAAGAAAAAAAATAATTAGAACTGCCTAACAATTGACTGTCTTAATCTATGGGGAGTTATTTCTATGTCACTGGCAGTCTTTAAGCCGAACCTTTGTGACCAGAATATCAGAATTTTGGAGTTACTAAAAAATCTTAGAGGTCATCTAATCCAATCTCTGTCTGACCATATAAGCTATCTGTCTTTTTGAATTTGTATCCCTAGTGCCTGACATATAAGCAGATGGTTAATAAATGCTTGTTGATTGATCAATAATCCCTTTTATAATACCCCCCAACAAGTGGTCATCCAGGATTGACCTCAAGACCTCTATTGAGGAAAAACTCATTGCTTCTACTTGTCAGCAGTTTTTAAAGGGATTCTGGTTTAAGTAGGACGAAGTTTGATTCCTTCCAAATGATAAGATGATACTATAAGTCATTGTGGAAAGTGAATGCTTCTAAATTCCAGTAATATTATACTAACATACATTCACTAAACACTACTTTTACTTGAAGAAACTGGGAAGCACCTAAACTGGCCAGTTAAAATTTTTTAGCTAAGCAATTTTGAATGTAAGTGACTTTTTGTGAACTGTTTCTATGTATTTTTAGCTGGTGTTTTCCTTATTTTGGCAGGAGTCTTCAATGACCAGGAAATCTGATGGATTGTGGTCTTCTACTCTGAGCGGTTTTTATTCATGTTTCCTGTGCCATAAACGCCTGGTGGAACTGTAAATGAATGTTTGGTACCACATGATGAATTGGATGGCCAAAGGCTGGAGGCAGGCAAAATAACTGTTTCATTTCTGTGGCGATTTGCTTAACTGGGGGTACAATGCCAGAACGCCTAGCAGAAATGCTCTTGGATCTCTGGACCCCATTAATAATCTTGTGGATTACTGTTCTACCATATATTTATATGGCTCCAATGGCCCCATCTCAGGTTTTACCAAATGGATCCAGTTTGGGACTAAATGTGTTGAGTGAAGAACAGCGAGTTTTGAACCGCTCCAAGAGAGGCTGGGTTTGGAATCAAATGTTTGTCCTGGAAGAATTTTCTGGACCTGAACCAATACTAGTTGGCCGGGTAAGCTGGGTTTTTAAGATAATAGCTTATTGGTCAATCCATGGTATTTAATTCATTGACACAAAATCAAGGTTTTTTTTTTAATGGATTATTTGTCTAAAAGGATCATTTTAATATCTCTTTAATAATCATAGATCAATTCAGGTGGGGTGGTATGTGCCTGTAATCCCCATTACCAAGGCATTCTGAAGCTAGTAGATTTCTTCAGCTTGGAACTTCTGGATGTCAGTGGGCTCAGCTGATCAGATTCCCTCATTAAGAATGGCACCAGGCTACCAAAGGAAGGGAGCTAACTAGCCCAGGTAGAAATGGAATAAGTCAAATCTCCAAGCATTAGTGAGCTTGGAACTTTTGAGACAGGGAGATTTGATCTTAAATTATGATAATAATAATAATAATGATAGATTACTTCGAGGAAAGTTCACATACATGGTATGATTTCCTAGCAATTTTAAGTAGAAATAACTTTTTATTCAGCTTTATAGTATCTAAATTATACAATACCTTGAAAATACTACTTATTTTTCAGGGGTTGTATTTTATTAGCTATATTAATGGTAATAACAAAAAGGCAATAATATTCATATTAATAAGCTCCCATTTATGTAGTACTTTGCAGTTTTCAGGGTTTTCCCCACAACAATCCAGGGAAGTTGGTAGTATAAGTGTTATATACATTTTATAAATGAGAGCATTTGAGACTCAGGATTAAGTGGTCTAAACAGAGCTAGCAAGTGTCAGATCCAGATTTAAACCTGAAAGTGTTTTTTTTTTTCCCCTCCTTTCTGTTGATATACCGTCTGACCCATTTGTTTTCAATCCAAGTTCATTCAGGAGGCATTTGGTGCCTACTATGTGCCTAGTACTGTCTCAGGCAGAAAGGACAGACAAAAACAAAAACTGGTCCCTGACCTAGAGAAGCTCACATTTTACCTTTTCCCTGGGTTATTCCTTGTCTAAGGCTTGCATTTCTGTTCATTTGTTAGCAGCTACCTAGAATAGATGAGGTTAGTTAGGCAGGTCCCTTGTCCTGTCATGTTTTTAAGGAGTCAGTTTCTTAACCTGTAAAATGAGGGTATTGGATCATCTAGACCTCTTTCAGTTCTAAGTTCTGCAGTTTTGTTAGTAATGAGGTTCTGCTATTTCTCAGAGGTAATTAGAAGTAATGACAAAGATAGAGTTTAGTGGCTATGTATTGTGAGATTCACAACATTTTGGTACTAATTTTCCTTATGGTGGGGTGCATGCATGAGTGAAAATATTAGGATTTAGGGTAGTTTTTTGTTCATGTGTTTGTGGTGTGTGTGTGTGTGTGTGTGTGTGTGTGTGTGTGTGTGTGTGTGTGTGTGTGTATTTGCCTGGATAACATATAGTTGTTATCTTAGAGCCTTTTGAATCTCGTCTGGCTTTTTCTTTTCTTTTTTTTTCCCTCTAGCTAGGATTGTTTTTCTCAATCAGCATTTTCTGGGCTAGAGCAGTGATCAGTAGAAGTGTGCTATCTGCTAGCCTAAATTACACGGAGCTCTGCTGGATGCCATAAATGCCAGGCAGCTGCTCGGCACTGTTCTTCAATCTCTGTCCAAATGCTCACAAATAGAAAGCTCACCATGATCGGAGGTACTTTGCCATGGCTTATTTTCCGATAAGTAAAATCTAGATGTGACTCTGCCAAGTCCTTTCTTCAAAAGGGTAGCATTTTAAAGGGCTTCAGCATCCTCATCAGAGATTAGTGCACTTTGAGGGTTTCATTAGCTCTTCCAACTAGATAAGAATATTAGAATCATACAATCTTAAGAGTTGAAAAGGGTATTAATGGGCATCTTGTTCATTTGTCCCCTCTGTTGCCCCAGGGATTTGAAAGAGGCAATGCACTTCAAGAAAGGGCCTGATTTCTTCTTTTGACCTAAATCAGGCATGATAGTGAAGGGAGTGAAGGGAGATCATAGGCTCCTAAGATTGGGAACTGGGAGAAGTCTTAGTAAAGATCCTTACTCTAATCATCTTATTTTACAAATGAAAAAAACTGAGGCTTAAAAGAGGTGAATGAACTTGCCCCATATCATACAAATAATAAACAGCAGAGCCAATATTCAAACTGGGATTTTCTGGCTTTTAATCCTGTATACTTTTCCATCACACTGCATTGGACCTTAAATCCAGGGCCCAAGAAATAACTGATAGCATAATTTGTACATAGAATTATTGTTGGAATTCAAACCAATACAAAACTATCAAGCTCTATTTTATATGGAATTGTTAAATTAGATTAATAATGCAATCCTAATTAAAATTTTACTCAGTCAACCTTTAGTGACAACCAGAGTCAAAACGAAGGCTAGGCAAGATATGTTGGTGTCAGGTCTACCAGGTGAGGAGATGGTAAAATGAAATAGGGTTGTAGAATTGTAGATGCAATTAGAGATCATCTGCTTCCTTTAATGGACGTGACAATTGAGGTACAAAGAGATTAATTGATTTGTCCAGGGTCCCACAGGTAGTAAGTGTCAATAAGTATTCAAACTCAGATCCTCTGATACCAATTCCAACACTCTCTGTAGTGAAAAGATACAGTTTTAATATATATTTTTAAAATGTATACATTTTGAATGACAGAAAATCCCTCTCTTCCTTGACTATAGGGACTTATCTTGAAACAAGACATGCTTTTTCCCAATCACATTGAGGACTCAGACCTTCAGATAATAGGAACATATGGGAGAGTGGTGGAGGGGAGAGAAAAATTTTTTAAAAGTCCTTTTTTCAATAATCTAGCATTTTCCCTCACATCTTCTGGTGAAGAAAGAAGGAAGGAAAGAAGGAAGGAAGGAAAGAAGGAAGGAAAAGTAAAAGGAAGGAAGGGAGGCAGAAAGAAAGAAAAAGAAAAAAGAAAGGAAGAAAAAGAAAGAAGGAAGGAAGAAAGAAGGAAGGAAGGAAGGGACAAAGGGAAGAAAGGAAGGAACAAAAAAAGGAAGGAAGAGAGGAAGGGAGGAGGGAAGGAGGGGAAAAAGGAAAGGAGAGAGGAAGAGAAGGAGGGAAAAAGGGAAAGAGGACAGTTCAACAAAACGTACTTCCACATTAGCCACATCCAAAAATATATTTCTTATTCTGCGTATTAGTACATCCTCTCTGTCATGAGATATGCAGTATTCTTTCTTATCAATCCCTTGGAATCAGAGTTGATCATTTAGCTGATTAAATTTCTTAAATCTACCAAAATTGTCCATTTTTATAAAATTAATGTTATAGTATCAATTGTTCTGCTTGAGTTCATACATGTCTGTTCATGTCTCTTTGAAATAATCTTTTCCCCCATTTCTTACAACAAAATAGTATTCTATTGTACTTATGTTTCACAAATTATCCAGTCATTTCACAATTGATAGGCATTCCTTTAGTTCCCAGTTTTTTGCCACTGCAAAAGGAGTCATTATAAGGGCTTTTTCTTTCTTTTTTCTTTTATCTCTTTGGGATATTTTAGATCTAGTAGGGCTGTAGCTAGGTCAAAGTGCATGTACTGCTTGTTAACTTTTTGTGCATTTACTGCAAATTGCTCTCCAGAAACCTCCACCATTCATAATCCCAGTTCTAACAACTGGTTGGGAATAATTTTCTAACATGCAATTACCAAGATCTATGCAGAATGTAACAAAATGACTTGTTCTGGATTCACAGAAAATTGGGGTGCAAAACACACTGTTAGGTACGACAGATAATAGAAAAGAAATAAGTTGCCACCTTGAACTTAGTTTAAATACTAGAAGAAACACACACATACACACACACACACACACACACACACACACACCCCACACCACACATAGACTACTGACAATGTAACTGAACAGCAAATGAAGAAAAAAACAAAACAAAGCACATCTCTTTCTGATAGAGTATAAAAGTTTTCTATGAATACTAGATAAAGTAAATTAAACAAAATTAGTTGAAATCAACCCTAGAATATTTGTGAGAAGTAAATTGTAAGCATTTAAAAATCATTCACAGTTAGAAGAATATAGAGGTATCTTCAACTTTCTAATTTCTGCTTCTCAGTATTTCTTAGCCTGGTATTTTATAATAAAGAAAGAAAGAAAGAAAGAAAGAAAGAAAGAAAGAAAGAAAGAAA